CCTGCCCACTCCCACAGGTATCCATTGAGGGCTGGCTGTCTTCCCCTGTCCCCTCCCAAAAAAATTGGAAATGAGCCTTAGAAATATCTACATTTTAGTATCCTGTTTCTTTTCTTTTTAAAAAAATCATTGTTGCTTGAACAGGGCTTTTTTTTTTTTCCCCATCTATTATGTTCAAACATTTAATTTGTTTGAAATTGCCGGGTAGCATCAGTGTTAAGAAGGTGATAATGAAAAGTCTTGGCTAAGCGTGCTTTGAGGGCAACGCAATTGTGGTTCTCCATCGTTAGTTTTAGAATAATAGAATCACAGCATGGTTTGGGTTGGAAAGGACCTTAAAGCCCATCCAGTGCCATCCCCTGCCATGGGCAGGGACCCCTCCCACTAGCCCAGGTTGCCCAAAGCCTCATCCAGCCTGGCCTTTGGTTATGAGCTCTCTCTAGAAGCTACAAAGTTAAATTCTTGCATTCATTGGGTTTTTCTTTTTCCCCCGATCTTTTTCCAGATTGCCTTTTAACTCTTTTCAGTCTGAGAAATGGCCTAAAAACATTCCAGATATCAGGTATCCTCACCCACCGCAATTTTATTTTTTTTTGCCGCAGGAATGGTGTTCTCCATTGTCAATACAAACTGTCTCCTTGGCACTGGAGGCTGGCTGCTGTGGCACAGGCTGGGGGGGGTGGGGTTTGTTGTTGTTGTTCTCAGGCTTGAATTGACATTTCTGTCCATTTTAGTAGGCCACAGACTAATCCACATCTCCGTGTGACACAATAACATGAAAAAATCATCCACAGGCCTTAACTGTGTGTTCTTGCCCCACTTGAGGATTTTCTCTCTGCTTAGCTGACGGCCACATCTTTGCATACCAAGCATCCTTTCACCCAGGACAAGTTTCTTTCCTGTTTTGTCAAGAGGATTGTGATCTGCATAGTACTAAATATCTGCATCTTAAGATAGTAACTAACTGTATAGACTGGTGTGTCCGTGGGCACACAGATTGTGTGGGAGGGTGTGTGGTATTTATTTGCATTTTATTCCTTTTCATATTTAAGGAAGCTGTTTGTTACATTTCAGTTGCTGTTCTGTGTGACAAACTCAGCATAAATGTAAACCAGGTTGTCCCAAGGTTTACCCATAAGTATTACCCTATGCAGAACCTTGCAATCTGCTGATTTGTCAAGACCCAGGACCTTAAACACATGTTAACTGAGGAATGTCCATGTGCAAGTGAATGAGAAGGTAATGCTCTAGGTCACTTGCCCTCTGCTTTATTTTTTGTCAAGCTACCAAGGAACGGAAAATAAAATGCAAAGTCCAACTGAGTTTTAAAATAAGTCACATCATTTCAGAGTTTACAGGTTCATTCTTGCCTCTTGAGGTGTTTTCCTCTTCTGTTTGAAGGAACCAAGAGCATTATGGAACCTGCAGAGGAAAAGTTAATTCATTTTAATGTTGGTGGCTGGTATTTCTCAATTCCCAAAAGTAAAGTCTCTAAGTTTCCTGAATCTCTGTTGTGGAAAGAAGCTTCTGTACAAGATCAGTCTGAAAATCTGAGATTATTTATTGACCAAGATGGTTTTGTATTTAGGCACCTTCATTATTACATGCAGACTTGAAAATTATCTTTTTTCAGCTATACTGAATGGAACTTATTATACAAGCAAGCATTAATTTTGCAGCTGACACCTTTATTGCAGGTAAAGTGGGATATTCCATGTGGCTTTTCTAGAATTTTTTTCATTCTTAGATAAAATTGTCTGTAGAAGGATGTCAACAAGTTTGTGGATGTAATTTTATCAGTGCTTATGAAAGGTGTCCAAACAACTTCCACATTCACCTCATCTGCCACAGTTGGTGAGTACAGAAAATGTACAAATTTCATGCTTGACCTTTCTGTAAGAGCTCATTTGATGGTCATTGCTTTTTTTTTTTTTCCTGAAGTTAAAGCGAGCAGAGGCTTTTGCCTGCCAATTGTTGCGCTTGATGACAATTATGTTGCCCAGTCGTGTTGAATATGAACCTTCTAACCTGAGGAGGGTGAGACTGCCTTCCTTGGGAAGGTTCAGTCCTCCTGAAAACAAATTCATCCCAATGGGACACCACTGAATTCACTGACCTGACAAAGGAGGAAATGATGATTCTTCCTCTCCCCCTGTTCTGTTGCTGCATAAAGCAAAATGTTAACTGGATTCCTGTAGCTAACTTTTATTATTTATCTACAAGTGTTTTTTTATTGTAATTACAGGGCAGCTTTGCATAGTACCAGTGAAGGTTGAGTCCATACTTCCTGGCTGGATGAAATACGTATTTTCACAGAGTCATAGAATGGTTTGGGTTGGAAGGGAACTTTGAAGGTCACCTAGCCCAAACCCTCTGCAGTGAGCAGGGACATTAATATTTGCATTTCCTTTAAGTTTAATCTAAAATCCAAGTTTCTTTTGGTTACTAATATTTTTTGAGGAATTGTCTCGGGTGCTATTACGCTTGCTACTTTTAGCCCAAAATATTAACATTTTGGGTTTAACATTGAACATCTTTGGGTTTTCTTTTAGGCCTGTGTTTAAAGATGTAACATCTCCAAATAGGTTGGGAGAGGAAGACCGCCACACCTCAGCAGTCTGTTGCATTAACAAACCGTACATGATCATGTGTTTAACATGGACCTGTTGTGGTATAGCCAGGAACATATTCCACCGAACTAGAATGCTTGCATTTTCTGGCTTCTAAGTGCTTGTCAGTGTAACCTTATTAATTCATGAGAGAATTTTATGCATGTGCATTAGAAGTCATAACTGTGGCTCTAAACTTACTTTATAATTAATATCCTACAACAGCAGGTAATTGTTTGGTGCAAGTTTAAAATAATTTATAATTCGGTAAAAGATCAGGAAATACAGACTGTTAAACATTCCTATCACTCATCCAAATACTGATTTCCCCTTTCTAATCATTGAATTCCTACAGCTTATTGTAAAGATGTTATTAAAAAGAGCCCAAAAGGTCTTTCAGGCTTTGTGTTGGGTTCTTGGCTATTTCTATCGTATACTTTTACCCGTGTGCTGTCTCGAAGTCCAGAGATAGAATACAAGGAAGTGTCATTAAAACTCAAATGTTGAAAAACCGTTGTCTTTTTTTGAATATATGAATAGCTCTAATAATATTTCAAGTTCTTATAAATGTTTTCTACAAATTCATTCCATTTACCTTTAGGTACTTAAAACTTGGCAATGTGTTTGTTCTTGGCTGTATACAATATTCCATGGCATATTTTAGTAGATGTGAAGTACAGCATGGCATGGATTAGGCTCTTTCCCATGGCTGCTTTTGGCTTTTTTGATTAATTATTTGAATTGAAGTAGTAAATAGAAAACCTTTATGTATTTTGACAGATTCTAGATAATTGGAAGGAGCAGAAATATCATTCGCATGTCCAGCCTGCAGATACACCAGTAGCTGAAAGAACATCTCTGAATTCCTGGAGAACACGAAAATGCACCAGCAAGCCATCAGAGATTCCTTCAAGCAGGCCAGCATCCACAGGTAAGTGTCCCAAATTCTTTTGCATCTTTAGGAATGCCCAGGGATTGTTGTAACTTGTTGCAAGCCAGGAATGTTTTAGAATCTTGCAAATCTTATTTTTTGTGATATTTTCTCATTAGTCATCTTTATTTTAAAAATAGGAAACCCATGCAAATATTTGTTCATTTATGCTGGGCTTCATCTTTTAGGGTACACTAAATGTCGCGCAAGGTTAATGCACTTTTATTGCCTTTGCTGTACAAGAGCCAGATCTCCAGAGTGAATATCTGAGGTTCTTTTTCCTTTACTTGTGCCTTGATTTTTCTCTGGTTTTTTCACCTAGGCTTACATGAAAGTGCTCCCCTAGGGCTGGTGGATACACCTTTACTAGATACAGAAGAAGAAATGAATTACTGTTTTTTGCCACTAGATTTGGTGGCAAAATATCCTGTCCTAGTTAATGACGACAATTTGCTGTGGCTGCTTCAGAATGCAGCCCTGGTTGAATGCAGGTGCAGTGAGTTCCGCTTCATAGGTAACTGCTTTCTTATAATTACTTTTACACATCTCAGTTTCTGTGTTAGGCTGTTTCTGTCTACCTTGCAGATCAGAATCTTTTAATCTTTTGTTGTTGGTTTGACTTTGCTACCTGCCGGTTTTACTGCCCTGTTTATCAGGCAAGAAACAGAGCCTCTACTGCGTGGCTTCCAGAGCACACGGACCTAAAGTCACTCACCTACAGCCCTGCTCATTTGGGTTTTATTAATCCAGAGGCTTTCTGAACTAGATGCATTAATGCCATCAGGTACCAGAACTGCTGTTAGCAGTCAGTAATTACAGTAGACAAAGCTTATGCGATGACTCTTGATCTCCACTTGACCTTGTATCTTTACATTAGCAAAAAATCATGTTTTGCTCATTAAATAATCTTCCAGCTTCAAAAAAAGACAAGTACTTCTCAAAAGTGTGGCAGGATCACATACCTCCTCCATCAACATAGTATTTTATCCTCTGCAAACTCGGTTCAGATGAGATATACAGGAAACTGCAGTTTTGCTCTGCTAGTCCTCCAATGTTAGCATATGATAAAGCACGTGTTTAAATGTGCAGTGGGGTGGGACTGTGCCTGGAAGTGGGGAAAAAGCAGCCAAACAGGAACCCTCTTACATGAATCTCTAAGGATGCTGTGATAAACAAAGCTTGCCTCATTCTGTGCTTCCCCTAGCGTTCATGCTGCATCTGGTCTCCTCTAGCATAAACCTTGTTTTCAGGATTGTGTTTTCAAAGACAAAGTGTTTCCTGGAGTGCATTTGTCTTCTGTGTATGCATGCGTGTGTAAACAGTAATGCTAAAGGAAATAAGAACCTATTTTTGACAGATCTGAGCAGTGGACAGAAGACGTCAACGCACACTTCCTATGTTTTATTTTTATTTTCAAGTTAATTTTCTACGCTCAGAGAAGATGTTGTTGCCGGATGACTTCTCCAGCATGGATGCCTTGGAGGAAGAAGTTTTAATTCTGGGAATTCCTGAGCTTATAGATGCTTTGAAAATCTACAGAGGTAATATAATGTACATAGCTATATATTTTCTTCCTTATGTGCATTGATTTTAAGGTTATATTGTGAAATTGCTTGAAATGGAAGTTCTATTAATATGATCAACACTGAGGTGAGTAGTCTTAGCAACTCCCTTCCACAAAATGTTGAAAATGGTGGAAAATACAGCAGTGATTGTCAGCTGCCGACCTTCTGGGGCACAACCTTCATCTTCTTTCCTTGCAGGCAGCTGCTCTGTGGTGTCCCTGGCCGTGGCAGGGGCTGGGGGGCAGTGGAAGGTGTCCCCGCTCTATGCCATGGCGCTGGGGCTGCTGGCCAACTACCCAGATTCGGCTCTGGGACAGCTCCGCGTGGGCAGCAACCTTGGTAGGAGCCACCTGCACCTCTCTGGTGATGGCATCCTCTTCCAGCATGTCAAGTACCCACCCTTCCTCTGCATAGGCAATATCAACATAACATAAGGTTCTTTCGAAAGGCTGTCTGATGGGGTTTGTGGTTGAAAACATGTCCTCTTCTCAGCAGCTTGTCTTTTAGAATTTGTACGGATTATCAGTTCAACTTGCAGTGACTATAATTATGCAAGTTGGCATTCTTCTATTCTATTGTAGGCTGGTAAACTTAAAATTCCAAAGTGGTATATATAAATTCTTTAATGACCCGATGTTCTTCAAATGTAAGATTTACCGTTAATTCAGAAAACTCTGTATGGGATTTTCAAAATCATCTACATGCCTATGGGTACGGGCGTTTCTGAAGTCACAGAAAAGTCATGCTGCTATAACTAGTCCAACAAAGGAAGCAGACTTCTGAATACTGTGGTTTAACTTGATCCTTTGAGACAGCATTATTGCTCAGACTTACCATGCCAGTGCATGGGTTTAATAAAAACCCTGTCATACAGAAAAATGGCTCCTTAGTGAATCGTTAGTACTTCTTTCCTGAAACAGGTGAAAATGTGAATGTCAGGCATCTTTGCTACAACAGAGGGACTATTTTTTTTTTTAAATTCAGACACTCAATAGGTGAGTCATGAAGCTAGCCATTAAAGTACACTTTTTAATACTCTCTAGTAAAAAGTGCTTACCATTTTCTTTCACCTGCTTGTTGTGATTTGGATTAAGAAAAGAAAATGAAAAGAAATCACAATGAATCCAATTGGTTGTGGTTCAAGCCTGCCATGTAATTAGCTGCTCAGCCACACATTTCCATCAACTACAGATTGAAAAGCTTCCTGCGCCTTTTAATCAACTTTAAATATAGCACAAGCACATAATATCCAGCCTGTAAACAGGACAGAAAGACAACAAGAAGGTTGAATGTACAGTCAGCTCATCTCTGCCCCAGCATCTTGTCTGCATTTGCTGTTGGCATGGGTGAATGATGCCGTGAAGCAGAAATACCACACTAAAAGCTTTATTCAAAACTATTGCAGGTCATTATTTGATGGCTCCATTGCAATAGCTTTAGTTATCGATGCTGGATTGTTCTCAATACAAAAATTATGTAGAAGGGGATGAATAAAACTCAGTAGGTGCAAAACCCAATATATTTTTAGGAGAACTCATATTTCCTGAGTTGTACTCCTTAAAAATAAGGAGTAAAAATATAAAACAAGGATAAAAATTTTAGTGATTTTGCTTTTTTTGGATAGGAATTGGCTGGGAACTTGCCGACTTCCTCTCACTGACAATATTTCCGAAATCCAAGAGCTCTGTGCTTATTTAGACCAAAGGGACACCACTTATGAGCCAATGAAAGATGCTTTAAAACGTTAGCTGAAACAACAGATGCCAGCAGAGAACAGAGATTATAGTAAGTCAAGATTTCTCCACAACTCTTTAATTTTAAAATAGAATGAGCAGCTTTGCCTGGATACAATTAAGCAGTCAATGACTCACATATGCTTTTGTACTGTAACAACCCCTCAAAGATCACCTGGAGGTGACACTGAGGTGTCTCACTGACAGTGTTTCTCTTCCGAAGATCCACTGTTACTCTGTTGCCTTATTAATTGTTTGTTGCGGGTCGGTGGACACCGGAGTGGTAACATTCGGTTCCAGGTGAGATATAGAGCAAGCCTTCACTGGATTTGGGCAGCACTGCTCATGGGTTTGGATAATTTTACTTGCTGAACTTGCCAGGTTTACTCGTGACTGAACTAATTTGCTGAATCCAGTTTCTTCAAGATTGGACAGCCCAAGTTACCTTCATCCAAACATGTTCTACCTTAAAGATAGTGAGCTTTCTTTTGCTCCGGCTTTCCTGGTGTGGGAATGTTCTTACAACTCCTGCAGTTGAACTGAAGAATCTATTTCTAACATCCAGCCTAAATGCATTCATAGCTGCATTTTGCTCTTGCTAAAACTAACGTTTAACTTAAATGCTGTTTCCACTTTGGTTTATCCCCTCTTCTCCTCTAAAGCATTTACAGAAAAATCATGATGTTTTCTATCAGCCCTTATTGTGGCTTTTTAACAAGAGTTAAAATGATCTGCTGACTAATGTAAGGATTTATCTTTTCACTTATCCTGGTTTCCTCATATTCATAGAATTTAGGTCAGAAGAGATCTCTGGAGGTCATGTAGTCCAACTTTCTGCTCAGAGCAGGGTCAAGTAGGTCAGGTTGCTCAGGACCTTGCCAGGAAAAGCTTTGAGTCTCTCCAAGGATGGCAATCTCACAGCCTTCCTGGACTCCAGCTCAAGCAGTTAACTCCCTTTGTTGTAAATAGTCATACATGTAATTTCCTATGTTTCAACTTTTTTCCATTGCCTATTGGCCTGGCACTTTGTACCTCCAAGCAGAATATATTTTGTCTTCCCTGCACCTTCCCATTGGATGTAGACAGTGACAAGATCCTCCTCCAGCCTCTTCCAAAGGCTGAGCACACTCCACCTGCTCTGCTCTGTTACTCCACGTGCTCCAGGGAAGATACATTTACTCATACTCTGTACAAGGTAACCCAGTTGAAACCTCGCTGCTACTACTAATTCTACTGGAGTTAGCTTCCTCACTACATCCCACAGTCTCATCTGCACTTCCCTCTTCTGTCGGTAGCAAACAATTTCTTTGCAGACATCCCTTTGCCCCATTGTCTTGGTGTCAGGACCACCACCACCACGTGGTTGCAACACCGCCACCCCCCCCCCACTTCCCTCCTGGTAAGATGGGGAAGGATAAGA